TCTTACTTTACTTCAAATTATTTAGTAAATGAAAATTATAGGGCACTTAAAAATCCAGTTTTCAACACAAACAAAATATCCAAAATTTCTATAATTTATTTCTACAGAGCATGTCATAAAATCAAAAGAAAAAAGATCTCATTTTTGACCATTTTTATAGGGTCTGCATAAGCATAATGTAGCTTGTTTCTTTCAAATCATTTGGCAAAGAATAAGATAAAGTCTAAAGTATATTTTCTACCAGATTAGATGGGGTAATGTTCACTTAAAAAAAAAATCAGTATTCTATGAATTATGAAGTTAATTTTCCTCCCTACATGTCATTCCCAATTGTTTTTTTTTTTTCTAACAGAAGTGGTGACAAAAGTTAGAAAAAGATGGTGGACAATATAAGGCTTAACATACACTTGAGGAAGGCCAAAGAACACATTGACTAAAATGTTATAAGCCAAACAACAAAGATAAGGATACTAGTCTGTATAATTCAAGGAAATGCTTCAACACAGAAATTTATGAAATGATCTAGAAACATAATCTAAAATCATAAATATATTCCAAGTAAGGTATTAAACTATCTTACTCTTCTTGGAGCCATTATTTTGTCTCAAATGATTTATAGATTCATTATTTATTTATTTTTACTGTTCCTTATTTATTTCACATTCCTCTTCTTTTTTTTTTTTAAATATATGGTTACATTTTGTGCTATAAACTTTAGCAAGGAAAAAGAACTAAGATTGTAATTATAACATTATATACATTGGAGATTATGATGCTCTCCAGAACTTTATTAATTTCTCCCAAGCTTCCAATTCCATCTGGAATCATCTTCAGAGGAATGAACCAGTGGCAAAAGTCCGCTTCACAACTTGCCTCTGTATGATGATTCTAGACAGAATTGAAAACTTAGCAGAAATGAATAAATTTCCAGAGAGCATCATAAGGTCCAATATTATGCCCAGAACACATATATACATATATTATACACATTATTTACATTTGGGCTATTGCCCTCATCAATGTTTATCTCCTTGTGCACTTTGACCTTTATTAGGAATTTTGAAATGGACCCTTTATTTAATCTACAGGAGTAGACCGTTGTCATTCTGCTGTCTTTATCTAAGAATATCTTGTTTAGTTCTTATTTTAGTCATGCTCAGTTATTGCTCGCCCTGTTTCCACTGATAGTAATGAGACGAAGACAATAGTCCAATTGTAAATAATGATACTTTCTCATCACAGAAATTCAAAACAAAATTATAACACTTTTGTGCAGTTACTTCTTTTATTTTTGAACATATTTTGATTTGGAATCAGAATTTTAAGCATTTAAATCAATCAGGGGTTATCAAGAAAATTGTGTATCAATCAAGAGTACTTAAGTATTTGTCCACTCCTCAAAGCCAACCATTAGGGTACAAAGGTGCAGCGTGATTTTTTAATTATTTTTTTTAATTCCTCCTGATATATATTCCATCTTATATAGCACATGTAGTAGTTCTCAACAATATTTTTGTTCTCTAACCTGGCATCTAGTTTTAACTGCTAACGTATCAATATAGTTTTAATTTTACTAAAATCTAAACTTGTATAGCATTGCATAGAAAAAAAGCATTATAAGATTATTTCAAAGACTTCAGTTTACTTTTAATTAACAACATCAGACATACCATTTTATAGTTACAAACTTTCATCAGTATTTTGGTACAGTCAGAAACTTTAATATAGAAATGCAGGCAAACTCTTATATTGATCAATATAGCCACCTTGTATGAAATAGTATATACTCTAGGTAGAGATAGCACCATGATTTTATCATTTATTCAACCTGTGCAAAATAGCTAAACAAATATGGCAGTTATATATAAGGCACATTTGCCAGAAAATAAATTTGAATATACATATCTTTGACTGTATAGGTGTTAATGTTTTCTTTTCTTTTCTTTTGATATAGTATTGATCAAATATTTATGTATTATTGATAAAAAAAAAAAGTCCAAAATAATTCAAGAATTGTTTGGATATTTAAATTCATTCTTTGGGCTTCTTACGTTATTTTCATGACATTTCAGCTGATCCATTTTAGAGCTTTCTTCAGGCATTAAATCCATAAGCAAAGTGAGGATTTTATATCATCAAGAAAGCTGTAGAATGGATCAAAATAACATTGTGCTAGCAACACGAAAACATAAAGAATTGTTTTTCTATATTTTTTACTGTTGTTTACTCTATACAAGACCTAAGAACCACTCAATGTAGAGGGCCCAAGAACGAGCTCGTAATTGAACTCAGTTGTCCAAACAAATCTTGGAAAGAGAATGATTCTTCTTAAAATTATAAACCATCATGAATGACTCGATCCAAGGAAAAAAAAAATTGAAGTTTGAGAGTTTTGTACCATAAACTTATGGAAAATAGGTAAAATAATTCTTATTAATACCATTAAGATATTATGTTAAGATGATAACGTCCTTATGACTTAAATCTAATATTTAATATTTAATTTTTTTTCCATTTTTTTTTTTTTTTTTTACTGAAATCAAAATTCTTTCATACAAAGAAATTAAAATATTTTTCACTGAGTAAAAAGAGGATTGATAAATTAGTTTCACTTTCTTGAAACATTGCATTGTTTTATTTTATTCTGGATGGTTCTAAACATCTATGTCAAGAAGAGACTTATTAAATGCAGTAGCTTTTTGACAAACAGCATTTATTTTTTTTTTACATTTTATCTCAGCTCCTTGGGTAGTGTAACAGATATTGGCATGAAACACGAACTTGGTTAGCTGAGTTCAAATTTTGGGTCTAGTTTACTGCATTCACTTTCACTCTAATGCCCTTGGAAAAAATATGAATCTTTTCTCTAGATAAGTGTTGAATAACAATTAGAAGCCTATAATTTTATAATTACCAGTCATCCATCAGGATGCCCCCATGTGTTATCCTAGGGATTTTGGTTTTTCCATGTATTAAGAGAGTCAGGAAACTATTCTTTGTTTCCACAGTGTCCATCTGACTTGGAATAATTAGGTCTCATTTATTGTCCAGTATGAAGACTCTTTTGCAAGACACCATTGCAGTTCAATGCCACAAATCTAATTTGTTAGATTCAGCCACTGACCATCCAACATCCTGCTGCTGATGTTTTCACCGTAACCCTGGCAGGGATGGCTTGTAGCTGCTGTGCCTTGTCAAACAATAACCTGTGATTTGGTCCCAGGGCCACATAGTTTTAAATTCAGAATTATCATTCTTCTAGACTAGAGAGCCCAGTATGCCCTGCTATTTAACCCATAGCTGGTGGATGGGCGATGGATTCATACCATTCCCAAATGTATTTGCACATGAGTGAATGTAACAAACTTGACTGGAATTTGAACTCAGATCTCTGATTTTGCATTCAATGCCACTATCCATTACACCACCTGTACATCCAGCATAAATAGATATTTGCTTAATCATGTACAAGGCCACATTTGTGGGATGCCCAAAGAGGATCACCTTCACTCATAATGGCATTTAAGACTATTCTGCTCATTATCCTCCTACAACAAGTATCCTAATTATCGACATGTGTAACATCAAATATTAAAAATATAATACAGGAAATTAAATTTTCTAAATTTGTTACATGTAATCCACTATTTAAACTTTACTAATAAAAAAATGTTTGGTTAACTAATAGTGAAAACAATAGTTGATTAAATAGAAAATAATAAAATTTATTTAACATTAATAAGAACTCTCCTCATTTAAGGGTTAAATAGCAGAGTAGACGGGACCCTCTAGTCTTGGGTAGCAGCCAGTCTGAAATGACAACTCTTGAGTTAAAAAAAAAAAAAAAAACTTTAAAGAAGGCAATGGGAAACAACTTCCTTATTTTTTTCAAGAGTTCATGAAAATTTGTTAGATAACAAAGAAACTGAATCTGCGGAGAGCCATGATCACCTACTTTGTGAAGGGACATGATATTTAAAAGGCAATGGGAAACCGCTATCCTATATCTCCCAAGTAATCATGACAATTTACAGATAATTACCTTTTGTTTAAATACCCAGAAATCTACACAGTAATTTAAGGATTTACTTGAAGTTTTCTAGTTTGTCTTTTATTATCACTAAGGATCATCTCGTGACTTAAACTCTGTAAATATTTCTATTTATTAAATACCACCAAGCTGGTATGCTTAGATAGAGACATTGGTTGTGGGATGTTTTTTTTTTTTTTAACACTGCTGGTTCAAATTAGCTAATATGTGAACTAGATAACAGCCAGTTATGGAATATTGAATTTCATGAAGAGAATAGCCTATTTCACTTCCTAGAAGGATTTCCCAATATTCTAAAAATGTAACCATTTATAATCTTATCCCAGATGAGATAAGTGAATATCATTATCTCCATGAAGCTGTTTTAATAAGCATCTTAAGTCATCAGTCAGTTATGTGCCATGCATGAGACACGCTTAGGCAATCATGTATCTTTTGATACATGACTGACGAGGCAGATTTTTTTCCCGCAGTAGGTTGCCATTTTTTTCTGCAGTAGACCAGTTGCCATCCAAGGTCTGTCTTGCTATTTACTCATAGCTGCAGGGAGAAGAAGAGGATTCATACGTTTCCCAAGGGTATTAGCACGTAAGGGAATGTAATGGATTCAACTGGAATTCAAACTCGGCTCTTTGATTCCTCAATCTGAGCCGCTATCCATGACTCCATTGGGCCTCCTCTTAAGTAATATATAGACAAAAGAACAAAATTTAGTTGAAATCATTGCAGGCATTTTATATGTCTGTATAGTATGCTTGTATTTTTATTAGAGATTGAAGTTTTTTCATATGGTGTTGATATAATCTTGTATTTTGCAGAGAAACATGTTTGTGCAGCTTAACACTTTAAGGCCAGAAGAGTTCAAATGTGCATGTAAGTTTTTATACACTTACAATTCAGAAGTGTCAGAATGCATTCACATGTGGATAGCACTGTATTTCAATATCACATTGAAACACCCATTCTCATATGATCACCAAAGTTAAGCAACATCAAGTCTGGTCAGTACCTAGATGGGTGACCGCTTGGAATACCAGGTGGTGTAATGGATAACGGCTTGGAATTGGAAATCAGAGTGCTGAATTCCAATTCCATTCAGGTTCATTATATTTACTTATGAGCAAATACTCTTGGGAAAGGTATTCACCTCTTTTCCCACCAGCTATGAGTTAATTAATAGGACTTGTATCAGTAAATTATTATTTCCCAAAAATTCTTACAATTTAAAAATATTTTCTGGCTTTAACGAACATCAAGAAAGTTTGTAAACCATAAAAAAACAAATCAATAACCTGATCATCTAAAGGTGCCAGAAATCTACAACTTATTGGAAATTTGTAATTTTACAAAGTTGCAGATTTCTAAAACCATATCTCATAACCATTAGTACCAAGGAGGTTAAATTTGGTATCATTTGAAAGAGAAATCAATTTACTCTCATATAAAATGAACTTGTAATATTTGATTTTTAATAGTTTTTGAGATATATCAATTTAATTGCATTAATATCATATATTCAGATTTTTCAATTTCAGTCAGCAGTCCAGGGATTTAACAACTGAAATAGGCTAATAGAGTTAGTGATTAGTTTTATTTGAAATATTTATAATGATTTTCCAAATGTAGCTCAGATGTGGCACAAGGTCGAAAGATGGGGCACCCAGTGAGGATTGAACTCACTAATCAGTCGTAATAGTCAGTGTTTTCAAAAATGCATTTCTATTGAATATCTATCAAAGTCAACCTGAGATGATACAAACTAAACTGACTACTTGTTAAACACTACAGAAACAAATTGATGGATGGAAAGATTTTTACAAAGATATAGATTTCAAAAAACATTTTTCATAACCAGTACTACCAAGAGAGTTAATGAAAACTTAAACAGTAAAACTACCAGCAGATTTTTTTCAGACTAGCATCTTCATCTTTGTTGTTTAGATTACAATGTTTCATCTGGTGTATAACATTTCAAACAATAAATAAATAATCTAGGAAAGATGTGGCGGGAAATAATTCGATATGTCTCAAAAAAGAATTTTACATAGTAGCCCAATGATTTACAGCTGCCAAAATGGTGTAGGGATTTGATTTTACTATAAAAGAATCAGGATATGACCAGTCCAGATGTTATCAAGGCTTTCTTACAAGTGTGAATAAAATTTCAGGCAAGAGATTCAATTTTTAGAAACAGGTAGGCCAGGAATTAAAAAAAAACATTGATAAAAGAGTAATTCTATGAAACTGGCTTTGCACAAGTGTACAATTTATACAATAATATTGTATAAACATGCAGAAGCAGTGTTGCTCTTTAATAATTAGTTAAAATTTCATTGATTCTGCAGTTGTCTGTTTTTATTCCAAAGTTATAAGATTATGGATGTAATCAAATAAATATTATAATTTTGAATAATTTTGGCCCGATTTACAAATTTAATATTTCAATTTTAAGATGCCATGTTCCTGTTTTATAATATCAACCCATCAGAAAAAAGTGATTAAGGTCAAAAAAAATTTTGTTTGACCTTATTTTCTAGAAGTACTGTATTTGATGGCATATAAGACACACTTTTTTTTTACTAAAATTATCTTTTAAAATTCACTTGCATCTTGTATGCCATATGTAGGTTTAAAATTTGTGATAGTTGGCCAAAATTAGCTTAGACTTTATGGTAACTTTCATATATCTATTGTCATTATTTAAAAGGCTATTATACAGATTAAAAATGTTATCATTGATAATATTCATTATATTTTATTACATTTAATATTAGTACTTTGTTTTACTAAAATTATATGCAATAAATTCAAATTATATATTTGTAAAATACATTTGTTTCATTAATATTTTTCTTGCAATAACTTCTGGTTGCATTGGTATAAATACAGTCAGAATTCTTATATCCTAATTATTCCAAGATGTTTACAAGACGCAGGTTGTTCAGATCATATAAAGGATATAATAAAGTTTTTATAGGCTTGTGTTCTTTTTTCCTATTATTTTTTGTTTAATTGTAATCATGGCTTGTTTAACCAAAATAATATCTCATAAATATAGCCTAGGCTGTACTATTTACCAATAATTTTATTAATTTTACTTATTACTAATTTTTTCTTGATTTGCCTTGCTAAAAATTGGGGTGCATCTTTTACACCTGTGCATTTTAAATTTAAATTTTAATTTAAATTTAATTTGCTGTCAAATACGCTAATTTTATCTACTTTTCACTTTTTTGTAGTTTTCAAGATTTTAAATTGCATTAAACAATATTTATAAGCTGCCAGTTAGAGTAAAAAAAAACATTTAAATGAAAGAAAAATAATTATAAAAAAAAGGGAAAACACTTTAAATAACAGCAAAAAAAAATAGTGCTATTAAATGTAGGAAAAATATTTTCATAAACAAAAAAAATATATCTAAAAATTTCTAAAGAAGACATACTTTTACATACATAAGGTGGAACTTTTTTTATCAACATCAATAAGCCTTTCTTTGTGTTGCTTTTAAGATCATTTTTTTACTAAATTCCTGCATTAATATATCAAATATATCAATGAACAATAAAAATTGTATATTAATATCTTTTTTTTTAATTTATAATCTCATTCTTTTTTTCAAAATTCAACTGATCCAATTTTTTAAAGGAAAACGTGTGGTAAAAAAAATAAAATAAAAATGGCATGATCAGTAATAGAAAAAAAAGGGAAAGTGGATATTTCAGTAGGGATTCAATAGCTTTTACTAATAATCAATCAGCTTTTGTTAACTGATTACATGCTGAAAATATTTTAAGTTTTTCCTATGACTGTACTTCAACATTCTACTAAGCATATTCGCTATGAGCTGAAGTACCCACCCAAACAGGGTAATAGTTTAAGACTTGAACTGAAACTGGTTCTAATGACAGAAGAACAATTCCTTAATTTTGTGATGTTGAGCTGGCAAGACAAGTTATAAGACAAAGGCTGGAAGTTGCATATAAATAATAACATCAAGGTGAAATGCATGAAATTCATAGCTAAGATATGTCTATTTTACAATTTTTGTTATTAATTCTATTGGAAGGATAAGTAACGACGTCCTAGTTATAAAACAACTTTTACAGCATCAGACAATTGGTTAAAAACTAGTTGCTGTTGCAAATCCTAAAATCAATCTAGATTTCTATGAGTTAAAAGAAAGAGTGAAGAAAGAAAGGAGGGTGAACATTTCAATTAAAAAAATTATTATTTGTGTTTAGTACCTTAATAGAAAAACAAAATAGATTTCATTTCTTCTCATAAGTTTCTTGTAATTATTTTAACTAATTGCAGAAATATGATGAAAAGTAGAAAATATATTTTTAGAAAAACTCTTCTTTACTTTTTCATAGTTCACAAATATTTTTACTGTTCAAGAATTCATAATAAAAGATAAATTATGGTCTTAAACTGAATGGTTACAAATGGTAAGTGTTGGTATGAAAGATATTTCCACCTAACAGAAAAAGGCAACCCTTTCCACTTCCACCATGAAAGAGAAAAAGTTTTGTGCTAAACCCTTTCTCTAGTTTGAATAAATATGTGTACCAAATTTGAGGGCTCAACAAACTCTCTCCAATTAGACATATAGATAATACATATTTAAATTCTTGCTCCAATTGTACTTACAATGGTGTTTGCTCTGTGTTAAAGTCTTTTTGAATTATGTTATAAAATTTATTTAAAATAAATTATGATAACTAAGGTAATCAAATTAATCTTTTTTTACTCTTCAGCTTTAAATGAAATGTATTACGAAATGCAGATGCATTTTTAATGAAAGATGACATTTAATTACTAAATAATGATTCTAAAATACTGAATCATTTTTAATGAAAGCTTTTTTTTCTTCTTTTTTTACAGTGATATTCACACTTTAAAAGGCCCTGAAGCCACTCAAAGTAGAAGGTTACAGAATAAGAGGTACAGTTTAGGTAGATATGTGGGGAAGGTAACAGTTAGCTCTAGACTTGAACAGGCTAAGATTGTAGTGATTGGGGAAGCATCCTCTTGGATGTTTGTGGGAAGAAGCTGCTTGACTGGAACTTAGATCTCACCAATGGAATACTAAGGAAATGAGGGTGGTTTGCTGTAATGTGTGTAGCATGGCAGGTCTTAGCCATGAATGTTAGAATTGGTGGAACTAAGGAATGTAGCTTGAGTACTTTCCAAGGAAATAACAACAGAGCAGTGATAAGCTTGGGTTGTTGGGGGGAAATAATTTTTCTATTTTCAAAATCTAAATTAAACATATCTAAATTTAATGATGTTTTTTCTTTTTTACAGATATTGTAAGAGGTTATAGTAAATGTTATGTGAAGGAATTTATTTAATACATAGAGATTAATTTAAGTCTGAATTGATGAGTAGGCATCCAAACCTTGAATTGTCTTTTCACGCATCATAATCGTTCTATGATGATGACTTTGAAACCAAGACATGCAGTCCATAAAAATGACATATTTAAAACTTACTTATATATAAATTAATTTAATTCTTTCTTTTTTTTGTGATAAATTCATCAATCACATTGTTGTAGAAAGTATCAGCACCATGTCCTACCTTCGTTTTCAAAAGAAAAAAAGCAACTCAGTCCACTGCTTTTTTTTCTTGTTCACTCGACCTTCTTCCACATTGTTTATGCCTGTGCATAGAACTGGCATAGGAGTAGTATATGGAAGCAAGGGCCTTCTTTGTCTACATTACTCTATTTCATAATTTATCTTAAAAAATAAAGGAGTGTGAGATTTTAAAAATATCACAAATGCAAGAAAGATAGCCAAAATTATCAATAATTCATTTTTATAAAAAAAAAAAAAAATTATTTATCCTGGGGGAAAAATAACCTGAGGCATGCACAGGCCACTGAATTACATATTTTAATTTTTAAGTACAACTATAATTTAAATACCAATTTATATCAGATCATTTTGTAACTTATCTGGGAGAGGTTTTGGCCCTGCTCATTATCAATACCCACTTTGGTCAGTCTTGTACTTGTAAAATCCTGGTGTTATCAGTTTATATGACACTGTGATTAACCCTTGAACTAATTGCACTGATACAAATATGGCTACTTTAAGAATGAACTAATATATAAAGCATGAGCAAATTATTCCCTTCTAGAGATGGTGCATTATTCTTGTAAAATCTTTAATATCAGTTAATTGTGACAGTAGTAAAGTTTATCTATATTATCTACATTATCTTTGTTGTTATTTCAGCTGTTGTACCTTTTGGCCTTCTTCAGATGTTTGTCAGGCTGAATAACCTTCAGGGAATTTCAAACTTAACCCTTTATTTAATCTGTGGGGGTAGATTGATCTTGTTCCATTGTCTATGTCCAAGGCTATCTTGTCTCGTTCTATTTTGTTAGTAACTGTTTAGTTATTTCTTAACCTATTTCCGCTTAAGGCCATATCATGTTAAAACACCAGTTGTCGTACAATCATCAAAGTTAAGCAAAATCAAGTCTGATTAGTACCTAGATGGGTGACTGCTTGGGAATACCAGGTGCTGTAAGCTTGGATGTGTGGGTGGTGTAATGGATAACAGCTCGGAACTCTAAATTGAAGAGCTGAGTTCCAAATCCAGTCAGATTTGTTGTATTCACTTACAAGTAAATACCCTTGAATGTATGAATCCACCTCTTATCGCCCTATCTCTGGGTTAATTGTGTCAGTAAATCATAATTATCCCCCAAGATTCTTACAATCTAAAAATAATTTCTGGCTTTAAATAACCTGTAAATGGTTGATAACCTATAAAAAAAAAATCAACATATTTCCACTGTCGGTCTATATTTCAAGGACACGTGGCACAGTGGATAAAGGCATTGGTTAGATCCAGTGACAGGACCGAAAGAGTGTGAGTTCAATACCCAGTTAAGGCAGTGGAGAACTTTCAGAGGGAAATTAACAGGAGATAACTGATAAGTGACATCCATTAAACATGGCACGTGGAACTAGAACAGTCTACCCCAGTGAGCAAAATAAAGGGTTCAGTTCGACATTCCAACAACCTGAAGAAGGCCGGAGCGTACAACGGCCGAAACGTTGTAATAAATATGGTGACAAAGATGAGGACAATAGTCCGAATAATGTAAATAGTGTATATTTCCACTGATTCTAAGTTTTAACTACCTAACCCAAGGATTGAACTCACAATTTCTATCACCAAATTCCAGAATGATACCTGGATCAACAGACACCTGAAAACGGATGGGGGGACACAATGATCAAAATGTGATAATAACAAAGAAATGAGGATATTAGTCCAACTATAAATAATGATAACTCCTCATCCCAGAAATTCAGACAGAAAAACAGTAAATATGTAGGTTTTTCAGTTTATCATTCATAATTCATGCTTACTTAGGTTAGTCATGTGCTAGTAAAATCATAATGTTAAGAATTTATTTTTTTTAATGTTGCCATGTTGGTAAACACTTGGCGCCTCTTAATAAATTCCTTTCAGTATGAAGGGAAATTTATCTTTATCAGTCTATGGCTCAATGGTTAAAGAATGGGAGTAATAAATAAATAAAGTGTGAGGTTTTAATTTTTCTGAGAATTCACTGACATTCCCAAAGACGAGTTCACTCTAGAAAAAAATATTAATTTGTAACAATAGCAAAGATCTAATGATCAAATTAAAACTCAAAGAAAAATCTATGATATTCACCTCATGTTTATTGGCCAATATCAAGTTTGGCAAAAGGTTATACAGTGTGTAACAGAAATACTTTCTACGTATAGCGCCCACATAATGGTAAGATATTGGCTAAATGAAGAGATCATTGCCACTAATGTCTTACTATTATGTGGAAGGTATTTGTGGGAGGTATTTTTGACATACACTGTATTTGTAGAGCAATTAGTCAGAATAAACTTGATATTTACTCAGCTTAGTACAATATCAAATTAAATAGGAAGATAAAGTTTTCATTATGACAATCTTTGAAATGGAGAGGGCCTCTTTGCCTAAAAAAAATCAGCCTTTGCAATCCTAGCTTTGACTTGGGCTTAAACCATGACCTCTGGTATTAGTGGGTGATTATGTCAATACTTGAGCCACTAGGCAGACTGTTGGTTTAATGTGTTCCCCTATTTGTGCAATATAAAAAATTCTGCTAAGCAAATATGATTTTCATTGCATTTAATGTGAGAGCAGATTTATTTAAAAACAAAAATGGCAATTGCTAATTAAAATATTTTCTGTTTCAGACTTCAGATGCATAGTTAATAAAAGCTGAATGACTTTTAGCAAAAATAGTTGATGATTAAGTGAAGTACATGAAAAATCAGAGAATGCTTTCAGATATAAGCTTAATAAAAAACTGCATTTTTTTAAAATTGTTCTTTGAACAAAAGAAAATAATTGGTTTGTTTACAGCTATACTAGTACTCTTTTTGAAACAAAGAAAAAATTCTATTAAACTACTGAATAAAAAAAAAACAATTTAATAATGAATTGATTTAAAAGAAAATTGTGACTCAACCAACATGTAATACATGGTTACATATATCACTTAAGGAAGAAGATAAAAGTTTAAATAAAATGTTTGAATACTTAGATATTATTTCAGCTCCATTTTTGTTTTTTTGCTTAATTTTTTTTTTTTTAAAGCCAATTCTTTTCAATGAAATTTTTGGAAATCACAGACTTCAAAACTTTTTGTGTTACACTTTCTGCAAACTGTTCCTGCTCAGGAGTACAATTCTACTGCAGCCAGACCATTCTCAAGTGAAATTCCAGAAAATGCCTACTTTCTCTTGTCCAAGATTCTATTTATACCTTTACTAACCTCCATTATCCTTTAAAAAAAAAACTAAAACAAAATATAACCACTTTTGTTTCAGCCTTGTTTTCAAATTAGCTTGTGACTCTCACTCCACATTTTCTGCTGCATCATGATTTCTGCATCTTTCTAACTCTTGATTATTTTTACTCCAAATTCAACACTACTGCAGCTCCTGGGATCCAAACTGTTGAATTTAACTGCAGCCCATTCCTACTGCTAACCAATCTCACTCATCCACAATTCTGTCGGCGCCAAATCCTTTTTACTTCCAATAATATTGATGTGTCTTTTGCTGCAGACAGACCTCACATCGACATGTTCCAATGATGCGACTAGCAGTTGTCTCCTCCTCCTCCTCCCCATTCTGCTGCACTTACCATTGCTGCCAAAATCTACTGCAGCCCAACTATTTCCTCTGTTCATCACTGCTACAGCCCACTTATGCAGCAATGCATTCTCGCTGTGGCTCTGTTCTGATGCAGCCCAATTCCACTGCAGCTCAACTCAACTACAGCTTCTTTGCTACTGCAGCCCAACTCAGCTACAGGCTGAATGGTGTGCATTTGGAGGCTGAGGCATTGGTGGATGTGGATGAGATGGAGGTGCTGGAGGCATGACAACATTCCCTGTACTTGGGTTCCATCTTGGTGGCATAGGGAAACCTCTTGACCAACTGTAGTTACTGTCCCAGCAGTTAGGGTTCATATGAGTGTTAGGGTAAGTTGATGCCATCCAAGATGAGGGTATGTTTAGTGGCTGGGGTCTAATGGTTGTAGGGAGTGGACTGGGTCGTTGGGGTGGTGGTGGTGGCGGCGGTGGTGGTGGTGGTGGTGGCGGCGGCTGGGGAGGTTCAGAATTCTGTGGGGTAGATGTAGACTGAGACTCAGCAACTTTCTGGAGTTCTTCAATAGTATGTGTGCGTTCATGGTTCTTCAGGTTCGTGACCTGTGAGAAGGATTTGTTGCACACCAAACAAGAATAGGGTTTCTCTCCCGTGTGAATGCGTTCATGGTTACGCAGATTTGTCTGCTGAGTAAACGCTTTGGAGCAGAACGTGCACTGGTAGGGTTTCACCCCAGTATGGGTGCGCTCGTGGCTACGCAAGCTTGACTGCTGGCTGAACACTTTGGTGCAGAAGGAACACTTGAATGGTTTCTCGCCTGTGTGTATGCGTTCATGGCTCTTAAGGTTGATGAGCAGTGAGAATGCTTTTGGACAAAACACACACTTAAACAACTCGCCAGTGTGGATACGTCTGTGGTTGTCCAGATTTGTTCTCTGGCTAAACGCTTTACCACAGTCTGCACATGTGTATGGCTTCTCTCCTGTATGTGTCCGCATGTGTATCTTCAGGTTTCCCTGCTGACTGAATGCTTTGCTACACACTGCACAGACAAATGGCTTTTCTCCCGTGTGTACACGCTCATGGTTACGCCACTCAGTCTGTTGTGAGAAATTGCGGTCACAAAATGCACAATGGAATGGCTTCTCCCCAGTATGTGTGCGCTCATGGTTCCTGAGAATGATTTCTTGGGAGAAAGCCTTCTTGCAGTATGAGCAATAGAAATGCTTGGTTCCAGTGCGTTCATGATTTTCTAAATTAACCTTGCGTGAGAAACCCTTCCGGCACACGCCACATTTAAAAGGCTTTGCAATGGCCATGGTCCGTTGCACAGGAAACCTTGGGAATTCACTGTTCTGATTGGTCCCTCCACTACTGCTACTTCCAGATCCACCTTTGATGATTGGTTTTGGCAGAAAAGCACCACTAAAACTGGAACTGGACATACTGCCAAGTGAGTACATGGGTAACATTGGATAAATTGGTTTCATTTTACTGTACTCTGATACGTTTGTACTAACACTGGCATTAGTGTTGGGTTGATCAGATTTCTGGTAATCCATACTGAAACAATACAAGAATCAATTATATATATAAATATTTATATATATATATATATATATATATATTAATAAGTATACAAAGATGAATATTTTCTATTTATGTACATTATATTAGTATTGTTTTTTTATATAGTGCTTTGTGTTTTGACTTTCCAACATACAGACATCTGGGAATTCAGAAGAGACACCTGTTGACTTGGTGTACCGAAATCACCAATGATAAAGGATTTTGCAAACTTTTCATCTTTCTGAGTTTAAGAAAAAAATATAACCAGTAGACGTGTTACCAAGAGGTAAAATTGCTCAGTGATAGGTTGAGTATCTAATTCACGTCAAATGTAGAAGATTATATGCAAAAATCACAGTAGTCACCTACTGTGTCAGCTCGCACAACAGTGCTTTTTTGGAGACGGTCCTTTTTGTGACGTAATGATTTCCAGGTAAGAATTAGGGAATAATGGATAAATAATTGAATTATTATTGTTAGGAAATCATATATATGTTTGCGTGTGTGTATGGAAAAATGTGCATATGAGCAAAAATGTATCTGTAACTATGTTATTATTATATATGTATAATCATAAATGTCCTCATTAAGTCCATGTGTGATTCCACCAAAATGGCTGGGTCAGTTTGAACATCTTGATTGGATATTTTTAATTGGACCTGAAAGAGAGGAAATTTTATTGAAAATTTATACAGTCATATTGTGACATTTTATAACATGTATAATAATTATATAACCAATATTACTTCTGTTCCATAATAGCTGTTATATTTGCTTTTTTCAGACTCTTTAAATAATAACTATTATG